ATAGCATTCCCAGTACTGCCATGGGAAATGTTCTAGTGTCCAGCTGAATAAAACAAGCACATTTGTACGAGTGTCTGTATGTTTATGTGTTTCTGTGCCTTCTCTGGAAAGTGTAGCATATCAACATGGACGCTCACACAGCAGGAAGGGACGACTCACAAAATTCAAAAAATGTTTCCAATTCAACCAGACCATGAATAATGTGCCCGTAAAGGGTTTCATGGTTTCCAATATCCGTGCCTGTCCCTATGGTGCACATTTTGATCTCATAATTTCCCATGACACCTTTTTATGAGCAGGTAGAACAGAATGAAATAGGCAGCAGAGTCCAGGCTCGGTCAGTCAATGCAACGTTCAGGTGAGACGTAAGCTTGGTGGCGACATCGTTGACTCCGATCACCACAGTGACGAGCGGGAAGCCCTGCATCACCATATTCAGATGTTCAGGTATCCCTGACATCGATTTAAAATAAAATATCAAATGAAACGCTGGTCTACTGCTCTCAAGATGGTCACAAAAAATGTTTCAATGGGATTCAGAAAGTGTTCGATCTTTGAGTCTGGCAGCTCTGTGGTCAGACAAGGCGACACGATATGAACCAAAACAAAGAAACCGACAACTACAGAAGAGCGAAATGATGTTCATCTCAGCTCAAAGACTTTGTTATAAACTGCTTATATTCGTCTCCACTTTTTTATCCGAGCTTAGCTGTTCAAATTGAGGGCGCCTGACCTTGCGAGGGGGAGCCGGGGGGGGGGTCCAAGCCGAGAAAAGAAGCAATCAACACCCAGGGTCCCGGTGAACGTAACCAAAGTTCATTGATCATAACCCAAGGGGGAGAGGGGAGGGGGCAAAAACGCTAACTGAAAATCTGTTCACTGGAATGGCCAAGGGCGTCAAGGGGCTCCTTGCCCCGGGATTCCTCCCGGGGCAAGAGAGAGACCGTCAGACAGATCCGTTCTCTTACATCGTCTCTGGTTCTGGTTCTGGTTCTCGCTCCCCTGTCGTTCGGGCCGTCTCTCTCCTTCCCCCTGTGTCTTCTGGGGGAGGCTTAAAACAGGCTTCTAAATGCCTGTGTGATCACCGACACCTGGGAGGGAACCTCAGCGACACCTGGGGCAGTAGCCTAGAGGAGACATCCATTGGCAACTGTTTATAGGGCAGTCGGACACGTCTGTCTTCAGTTAAGGTGGCGTATTCAAACTGTTTGGGTCAAATCAGTGCAATGCGCTTACAGGGCTGATAGCACATGAGCTGACTACTGTCGCTATCGCTATCGAGTTGTAGGAGCACCTGATCTCTGAAGTGTCAGTCGGGATCCAGGTGTTCAAGCAGTCGGACTGACGAAACCAGTTTATGCACTAAACGGACGGCCAACTGCGAAGGCGGAGCCAGGAGAGTGACATTCTTTGCTTTGGTAGACATGACTCCACTCGATCTTTGGCACCTTTGTTATGTTCTCAAAGTCAAATACAACTTATTTAACTTGTGTTGTGTGAAATTAAGTTTAAAACCCATACAGGTTCAGCCCACAGCTATTTGAAGCTGTCGGAATCCATATCCAACAGTATACGTATCCGTGCATTTAATAACAATGTAGCAAAAACATGTCATTGTCATTTGTAACGGTACACAATGTTTGGAAAGGTGTCTGCAAGGTTATGACCAAATAGGAGAGGAATACACTCAGCATGAGGCAGCCAGGACCTTCTCCCCCCCGGCAGAGAAATTGTAGCATTCAGAACCATTCTGCTTTGGAAATTGTTTCACATCTTTAACCTGTTTCATGACACATTTTCAAGGTAAAACACAAAACCCTCAGCAATAAAAAAACAATCTCCAATATATTTATTTTACTCTGGATGAAAATTACATTGTGTGACTGCACCCAATTTGATCATCTGCAGTGCAAATTAAAGCACGAAGGACACTGTGTAACAGTTTTTAGTAATCTCTGTAATAAACATCTATTTCCTTAGATAATTCTCACTGCATGAGCCCAAACCAGGCAGCATTGTTACAAGAAAGACCTCAACGGGGAGCCGGGAGCTTGAACAGCGTAGGTCTTTTTTTCTTCCAAGGCCCTCATTGCCAACCATCGTCACTCAGGGAAGATTAAAGGGGACAAAAAAGCTTTTGACAAGGAGAGGGCAGAAAAATACTTTCAGAAGCTCTTTGGAAAATACAAAAAAAAGGAAAGTGTTTTGGGGTTTAGCAACAGCCCAGCTCACGGTTTTACATGCCCATCGTGATCTAACGCAAATGGACTTTCAAGACATATCAGCATCCGTACCAGTCTTAAAGAAACAGTCTTCAAATTAACATTTAGATCGAAGTGACACGTATGGACCTCACCCGTCAGAGATCAGGCAGAAGGGGGTGGAATAAAAAAAACTGCATCCATCAAAGTCATTTTCCATGCCCCAAAGATAAAGTGGACTAAAGTAAAATTCCTCCAATAGATTAGAGCTCATTAACTCAATTATTGACAGTGCATCTCGTGATCTACCGTGGAGAGGCCTGGAATTATCCTGATCACGCTTATTTTAGTCTTCATGTCGCTACAAGCCAGAACTAACAGCAGGCCTGGCTGATGAGCGTGCAACGGATTGTTTTGCCGTTATTGAGTTCACACATGGAGAATCCCCTTTGGACTTATTGGACAGTGATTGCAAGCTGAGCATCAAAACCCAGCATGCAAATATAGCTTCATCTACACCCTGCAATATCTCACAGGAATCATCTGATGTTCTCACATGGGCATCCAGACCAACTGGATTGGCACTATACAAACGTGTTGTGGCCTTCTACAGTATTGACTGTATTATGTTGGAGAGATGAATAAATCATGTGAGATAAAGGAAAATACAACAATGTGGATGTGCACACATGTACAAAAATTATTTCCTCTCTAATTCTCACTTCACTTGTTCCATTGCAAGGTTATTTCGATCTTTTCAGCCTGTTCATTCAATAGGCGGGTAGACGCAGAGCAGATTAAATGGGCAAAATGATTTCATGAAAATATTTAAAAGTAGTTATGGGTTAAATTAGATGAAGTTTCATATGATACCGAAATCCAGACAGGAAATGTCAATGAACGTATCGCAACATTTAAATATTGCAAAGAAAAATGTTCATGTTCAAGTGGCTAACTCAGCATTGAGTATTGGAGTATTTGAGCTCCACCAATTCTGCCTTGTTAGAGACACAGTCTACTCATATATTGCATATCAAATGATCTTCGCATGAACCCGAGTATTTTATTGCTCTTCTTCTCTGATGCCACCGTGGCCACCATGGGCTACCGGCTAAGAGTAAGCGGGCCGTGAACATCCAACCGACCCGTTGGCTCTTACCCAGCTGTCAGCAGCTCCGATGGACGTTAGAATTTACATTGTGAGGTGTGCAGGTGTGCATTGAAATACAGCAGAGTGTGTATCATGTGACAACCTGTGATAGATGTAGATGTGATAGATAGATGTACTGTGGGCCGTCCGACCAACCCTGCAGCACAGCCAACCCGAGCTTATGCTGCCATGGCAGTTGCTTTGATTACCTAAGAGGATTAAAAAAAACACTTATCAATAATGTACAAATGCAATTAACGGCTTCCCCCACCTCTGTCAGATCTCCCACTGCACTGCTGCAATCTCCACGCTACTGGAGGAACAGGACAAATATGGAAGTGGGAAGTCATTACTAAAACATAGCAGCGTTAACCTTTTGTGAAACGCACTATTTGGATTCTTGCCTGGTGCTTTGTTGTTGGTGTCATACGCTCTTCTGTCGGCCCCCAGAGGCCCCCGCCTTTGATGGCTGTTGCCCATGTTTTACAGCTTGCATCCCAAACTTTGTTTTGTTAAAAAATGCAAGACTCTTTGCATACTGAATGCGTTAGCAAACACCAACACAGTAATTGCTTATGTAATCGCTATGCAAATTACACTTGAGTCTAGTATAATTTAAGTTGTTCTCAACCTCTGGGAAACTATAAACGATTTTTTTTATGATACGTAAATGTCTTTTTAGAATTTACATGATTTGAAAATATTATTGTCCAGCTTATGTGTTTATGTTTATTCCCTAAGGAAAAGATACTGTGTCTTTATTACAAAACAACAAATCATGATTTGGTGCTATTAAAAAAGTGTCAGGCTGCGTTTGTATAAGTTTCCAAGACGGACAAGTTATCTTACCATCTGTCAGATCCTTTAAGAGAGAATGTGGCAGCCTGGGAAACAATTTAAAGTGACTCTCTGTCACTCATTGTGTCAATGCTGGTATGATGACGATGTGTCCAATCAGCATGAGAGACTTAACCTGTCTGTTTCTATTGATAATATTCACTTCTTGATTTGTGTAGCTCAGTGTGCTCGTGTTTTATTGTGTACATAATAAGTTTACACATAGAGTTCTTTTGAGCATTGTCAAAAACATATTTCAAATTGACATGTTGGATATTAACCTGTTTATCCTTAACCCACAGAGACGGACTGGCACGCCGGTTTTCATTTCAAATGTTCGAATGAGTCTTACAAACACAAAGCTCTGCAGCCCATTTATCCACATGCTTCACCAGCTTCCACAGTGACCTGCAGAGGCTGTTTCTATCATTTCTTCCTTAAAAGATGTGCATCCTGTTGGTGACAACGTCCACTGGTCAATGGCACAGAGGATCATTGAGTGTGGATTCAAGGTGTGGATGAATGAGACAAACGAAGTTCAGACTGGAACTCAGACAAATGATCAGCTGCAATTAAAATGTGTGATTAAACAATTAACCTAAAGAAAGTTCTCAATTGTCCCTGAAATGAGATTAAGTCCTGAACCCTTGGTCATCGTGACGCTGGCGGTAGGTTTTTGTGTAACAAAGGGGGCAGTTGGCGCGTGTCGGGGAGGAACCAGCTCCTAGCAGCATCACGGCCATCAATGATTATGCGTAGCCTTCAGCACAGCGTGATGTCAGTCCTGATATACGCCACCTACGCTCCAGTTTCTGATTGGCTTTACGCAGAGATTCTACTATTATTTATTCGCCCAAAGCGCGGATTCCTCATTTATCCTCACTGGATCTCACTGCAGGACCTATCCGTTCCACTTCACTCAGCAGCAGCCGCACGCTGACTCTTATCCCCCCCAAAAGTATCTGCTCTAAGATAACAGGTAAAGAAAATATATTTTCTCTTAAATGTTTAAAGTAAAATGTTTATCTTTGTTTATCGTGTATTTTTGACGTTTTGGAAAGGATACAAAGGGGATCTGCGTAACATTTTCTGTTTTTTTGTCTTTGCGGGATAATTAAAAGATATTTCACGACACTTTAAAAAAAACACATTTGTAAATCTATGCCGCGCGCTTTTACGCACCGATTACGCAGTGGGTTATGATTGGTTCCTAATAAACTGCGATATTTGGGTTGATACGGAAACAATTTTATAAGATAGTATAATAGTACATGTTGTCGCACAGGTGTTGCTGAGAAAATGAGAAAAGGTTTGCTGCTGGTGACTCTGTTCCTCATCATGAAACTTCGACACAGCCAGTCCAGGTGCGAGGAGCCCGGATCGCGCACAGCAGCTTCCGATGTAGGTTCCCCGGCATGCAATGATGTGAAAAATAATCTGAGAATCACACCATCTTTTAATATTAACTGATTTTATTTCCCCCTCATATTACCAGACAACAGGCTTGGACAGCTTCAAGCAGAACAGTCGGAAGAGGTTCAGTGACTTGGATTATGATAGCTTTGTGGGACTGATGGGCAGAAGAGGTGCCGGTGAGTGTGTCACGGATTACTTTAAAATATGTATAATATAAGTATCAATGACAATACATTCAATGACAAACTGTAAAACGTTGATATAGGCTCACGGGAGGCTTTGTGGTGTAAATACTGTTTTTTTATTTTCATCATTGAAGTTTTTTTTTCTCCCCCCTTTGGCTTTTATTTTTATTAGACGCAAACGCTTTAGAGGGACGAGAAAAAAGTAAGACCTTTTAGTACCTTTGATATTGCTTCCTTTAAATTCTTTGAAATCTTTTGAACAGAATTTCTCTCGTACTTCTTTTTAGGGGAAATGCATGATATTTTTGTTGGTCTTATGGGAAGGAGAAACTCAGAGCCGGGTAAGTGTGGCGGTTCACAAGCTCAACGGTCTGTTGTAGCTCCGTGCATTCAGTTTCACAGTGTTCATCATGTTTAGATGAGGTCTTTTTGATACTATATAATCTCGTCACTCATAGATAACGGACCCTGGAGGAGAGCGTATCCAGAGAGGAGAGGCATTTTTCTCAACAAATGCAGGCTGAGGTAAAAGCATTTTCTTCTGTAGGCGGAACATTTCCAACACAAAAAAACAAGTTACCCTGGCTAATAAAACAGTATGGGACACAGGCAGTTTCAATGATTTCTGATGTCTTAATGACACTGCTGATCAAAACGACTTTTATATATTTCTTCTGTATAAATGAATGGATGCGTGTTTTGTTGCAGGTTTCTACAGAGGCTGTAAATGTCCAGAATGAAGAAAATCATCCGGCAGAAGATCACGGGGAACACAAACAATGAACTGAACGTCTTTGGAAATAATAACTAAATGCTGTGATTCACACCATAAACCTGCCAGCTGGCTTTTTAAAGTGACCATACACAGATTGTATGTATTTGTTTTATCTGAAGACAAAACATGATGAGTAGTGAGAGCCGATACTTTCTTTCATGATGTCGTCCTTTGTTCTTCAATAATACAAAATAAACATAATTTTATATACATCATTTATTCATTTAAAACATTTAAAGCATTTTCCTGAAGCCGTTTATGCACAATTCTTACTCGCTGGGGATTCATTGCCAATTTGGGGTTACTGTTTTCATCGAAAGATGCCGTTTTCAACAAGAAGTACAAGAGGTTTAAAGTACACACTTGAATCAGACGCCTCGTATCCCCCAAAGGTGAAGAGCAAAAACATTTATCAGAGTCTGCTTTTACCATCAAACCACACAAGCTTCAAAAGACAAACACTTGCATCAGAAGTAGAGGGGGAAAAAAGCACCAAAATAAAATCAGATGTTAATTGTTAATCAGCACCAGAAAAACAAAGAGCGGTGATTCACACAGCAATGTATTCTTGCATTCCACTTCAAGAAAACAATTATGAAATAAACAAAGAATGTATTCACATTGGCACACGGAGTGACCATTGAATAATATTAAGGTTCAAACACTATCACTGCACGTGCTTACAGTGTCACACTGGCTGGAATTATACTGTGATCTGATGAAGGAAAAAAAGCCTGTCAGGAACATTAGGCAACGTACCGTACAGGGAGAGCAACCAGCTGCAGCACGGAATCAGAGGGGTCTGCCTTGAGGGGCCGCAGTTCTGTTCTCAGTGATGCCATTGTCTGTCTCCTGTTCCTCTGCTTTAGTTTGGTTTCCACTAGCGGAAAAAGCCCAAGTTGTGTGACTCCTCCCCCCCGTCACCTCCTGAGCCCCTTTGAGTTTCGGCGTCAGGACGGTCTGCAAGAGTGGGCCGGGGCGCAGGCCGCGCTGTATGGGGGGCCGGTAGCGTGGCCTGTAGCCGTACGCTCTCAGGTGATAGGTGTAGTACTCCAGTGTGTACATAAGCTCCGCTTCTACGTAGTGGAAAGACACTGCCAAGTCAGAGCAGCACTGTGGACCCTGAGGACCAATAAGAGACAGACCACACACACACACACACACACACACACACACACACACACACACACACACACACACACACACACACACACACACACACACACACACACACACAGGTTAGCACAAAAATACATACAAAAGTACAGATACTAAAGCTTGACAGTAGAAATGTATTACATTGCAATGTATTTTAGCATAGACACATTTATACATTGGCAGCACCACGCTGACAAAAGGTTCCCCAGATTTTACTGCACAAATGTACCTTGCTTAAACACCTTTAGCTTCTTTAAATCACTCAGTTCAGCTTCCCATTCAACCAGTTTTGCATTTGAATTACCAGGATTTTAGCAGTGCAGCTTAAAACTTTTGGGCTTAAACATTAATGCAGGAAAGTATCTGCATTTTCAGCAATACTTTGCAATGAATTCCAGTGTTTTCTAAATTAGATTCCAAAGTAGCTGTATCATCTGCGCCCAATCGACCAATTATTCCTTTGTTGACGGGGCTCTATCTCTGTTGCAATCATCTACTTTGAAATGAACTCATTTCTTTTTCACTCATGGGCCAAGAACAGCATTTGAATGTGCTACGTCATTGCATATTCATTTGTTATCCTTGTAGGTTATTTGAATTCATCAAAAGCAAAATAAACGGTATACTGCATCCTTACTCTCAGTTAGAGAAAAAGTCCCTTCTGTATCTTACAAAATGAAAGAATAATTATCTCACTTGAATTGCAGACGCACACTAATGATATTAGAACTGGTTCAACAGCAGGTCTCCTAACCTGACTTGCTCTTCTCTAATTAGGCTAATCCACTCTCCTCTAAGTCTGTCTATCTCTGAACTATCTGTAAATCACCCTGTGCTTTAATGGCGACATTTTAGGCAGCCTTTATAATACATTGAGACAAGAAACATGGCGTGAGAGAGAGGTAGGGCACGATGCAAACTGGCGATGTTGGGCCTATGCAGAATGTGTCTTACCATAATTATTTCCCAGCACACCCTATTCTCTGTAGGTACGCATGTTATATTAAACATTCTTTGCTTTTACCATCAACGTCACAGCGCTGTAGCTCACAAATGAGACGTATGTGATGGTACTTGCCTCGACAATCGGGTAGTAACAATAGTTCCAGTACCAGAAGCTCTTGGAGAACTGGCCGGTTAAATGGTGCTCTGGCACAAACGGGTGGAAGGTCTCTCGACGCAAAGTATCTCTGGAGTCGCCCGCGACAACGCCCATCTTCTCCAAACACTGCCCCAGCGCCAGGTCCTCTACGGGTGTGGTGTGTGAGCACGCCTTGGTTCGAAAACCTTCAACAAATCTCTTGAGGGCCTCTTTGCTAAGCACGTAGCCCGCCCCTCCGCTCATGTAGCCCTGCTTGGTGTAAGGCTTGAAACGTTTGCCGAAGTAGATGGGCTCGTCAGGTGTGTGGTTGGACAGAATCCAGCGCAGGTTGTCCACCACCACGAAGGTGTCGTCGTCAGCTTTAAGGAACCAATCTGCTTCGCTCGCATGGTGCTCGTAGACGTAATGGAAGGCACGAATCGTCTTCCAGTACAGCTGGTCGCGGCCCTCCTTGGTGCCCAGGCCCACGGTGGGGAAGTCCGGGTCCTCCTCGGAGCTCATGAACACCACCACGTTGCAGTGGCGACTCCAAGTGGCCCTGACGTGGCGAGCCCTGCTCTCCAGGTTATACGGTCCAGTCATCACCCAACAGAGAACGCGAACCTTCTGGAACAACAGTTCTGCCCCTTGGCTGTCTTCATCTAGAGAGAGACACAGCAAACAGTGTTTGACCGGTTCGCAGTGGAGACATTGTACGTGTTTATATATTTCTATGCAGATGACACCTGGATAAGAACATTAGATAAATTGTCTGCAGTAGGACCGAGAAGTGAAGGACACACACACATACTTCATCTGTGTTGGACCAATGTGGAGGTCTGTATTTTACCTTCATTGTGAGAGTGGAGCAGATTGATGAGAGCAGCTCCCTCTTTCCTCCAGCTGATGGGCTTCTCGGACACCGCTGCGGCTCTTTCCTGAGCCCCTGACAGCACAGGGTAGCTCCTCTCAAACCACACTTGGCGCAGGAAGAAGTAGATACCGCAGGCCCCGACCAGGAAGCCCAGGGAGAAGGCCCATCTGGAGCCGTGGCCCTTCATGGTGAGACCGACCCCACGCACGCTGATGTCCCAGTTACAGCATGTCTACATGTGAACACAACACACCAGGATCCATGAGATGGACTGACAAACCGGGCTATTTATTAAAAATCATGTTGCAAATCATTGTGTCTGTCTGTGAATAGGCTATAAACTCCAATGTTTGTAGCCCAATAGTCCAACATAAACTGCAATGTGTATAGCCTAGTATTGGATGTGTGCATTGAGAAAATAAAGACACGCAAACTACATGTGATTTGAGTGACCTTCAGAGCATATTGGCTGCACTTTTTAGGCGACACATTTTAAACATTTTCCCCTTGAGCCGAATCAACCCCCTCTCATGTTCTCAGAAATATATTGCCTTTCTATTTGAACAGGAAAATTCGAAACCCACAGACAGCTGTGTCACTAAACTGGAAAGTTGAGAGAGGTCAGTTATTAGAGCCACTAAATAAACACTAACAGACTGTGAGTGTGTAGAATTTGTCTTCATTACCATCAATGCAGGACTTGTACTGTAAAGCAGAAAGCATGTACCAGTAAAAAAAGGGGATATAACAGCGATTTGTCCCACTAATACTAACAAATGTCCAGGAGGACATCACTTCATGTCCATTAAAGCAGATTAATACATGCACATACATTTCAACTAAGCTACAATGTAAAACCTGAATTCAGTTTGTCGTTTGGACCTGAAGACGTGTGGGTTTAACACAGTGTCGGTATCTCCCTGTTACATTTAGATGGACGGCATGTGTTGCCTCACGAAGGACGTTGTAAAAAAACCCAACATAACTCGTAAAAAAAACTGCATGCATGCATTCATCATCATTATTATTATTATATTAACGGTAACCACAGAAGGGTATAATCCTCTTCACTTATGCAATCGCATCAATTCACACCGAGAACACAGATCAATAAAACCACGTGGTACTCGGGGAACAGAACTATACATTTGCTGGAAATGACTGTTAGTAGCAGCGACGTGCAGTAAACGACGGACGCGATGTCCCCTCGTAGGCTCGCGCGCGTGTGCGTGCGTTTGTGTGTGTTATTGGGCTTTGCTCGTTGACGGGAGCGACGGGGTTTAACCGTTAAGCAGCGAAACAATGCCCGATGATGAAGATCGCCACACACCGCGCGGAGCTGTCGGTCATGTCGTCACGCGCTCACGTTAAACGACGGGCTGTCCTCGGGCGAAGTCGTCCCGGTTGTGCGTCGCCATGTGGGATGATTAGTGAGGAAACGAAGAAAGAAAAGAAAAGAAAACACACACACACACACTGTGCGGGTTTACATTCTTCGGCATCAAGGGCTCAGCTCTGCAACCGCGGCCTCTCATTGGTCAGCTGCTGGTGACGCAACGAGGAAGCCGCTTTTCACGTCTTGAAATGTATTAATGAGAAATTTTAAAAAACTGACCGTTTGATTTGAGTTGCACGCGTGTTCATTTGTTATTTAAATGTTTAATTTGAAGATGCAGATAGAGAAAATGAAAGGATGATCAGAAGAGCAGTTTTATTTTGGCCACTAGGTTTCACCCTACAGTGAGACTTTGGATACAATCCGCGCCTTTGCAGGTCACAGACTATGCAGATTGCTGGAGATATCTACCCAATGAGAGCTGCTACATCACCACACAAATGGTACACCCAGCACATTGTTGATAAGATTAACAATGATTATGAGACACCTTTACACCCAATAGAGGTTTAAAGCTTCTATGTAGATAGACTCACCAGAACAATTTGCCACAATCGATCATTCAAAGACATGAAGTAGAAGCAAAGACAACAATGTTGATCAGGGATGAGTGAGGAATGAAAGCAGCACTTTTATACAAGTTAAAAGTAAAATGTTAATTTATGAACGAAAGTTATTAGTAAAAACAATATCTGGCAACATATCATGTTTAACGATGCTGTACGTCTTTGAAAATGCTAATAGGTCAAAGTAATACACATTGAACGGGTGAATATTGGTGGGCTAATGTAATAGATTACTTTACATACGAGACATGGGAGGTTAAACATGTGTGCACACTGGAGTTATTTGACCATCAATCAGGGCACACAAAGACAGTACATATACGCTCAGGACAATATCCACAATTATAACCACGGCTGTCAGCTGGAAAACAAACAGCAAAACAACGCAATAATAAAAATGACTCACATGACCTTTACACCCAGCAAAAAAAAAAAAAAACACCACTGACGCAGAATACTGAAGAACTCAGCCCTGAGCAGTGGAGTTTCATAATCAGGTCGGAAAAAAGCTGCCTTCAGGTTTTCCGTTTTCAATACAAAGCTATGCTATGCTATGAATGTAAATCTCTTTAATATTTAATAATATATGTATGTAGACATCAGACCCACAACACCCAACTTGCACAGAGACATTAATAACCCTTCCTTCCACATCATATCATGGCCTTCTCTATGTCAAAGACACGCCCCCCCCCCCCCCCACCCATCGCCATGTCCTCTCCATCTGGGAAAGCAAATGCTTTCTGGAATTTGGCTGCTGCTGGAAACTGCTTTGCCTCAACAGGGAGGAATGGGTTTGACACGTGGGTGATCACGTACGTTCACTCCGCAGACGTCCTTGGCTTTACATATTTAGCCAAATAATAAATACCAAAAAATTTCTATCATGAACAATGGACACTTCTGCATCGGACAGCCGTATCGGTCTAAAGTTGCTGTCACGTTGCCTGTGTAGTCGGTCGGTGGTGCGCGCGGCTCTGCATGCCCTAATAAGGAGCAGTTTCTGACGTTTCTGCATGCAATTCCAGCGACGCGAGGACGCGCGTTCGGGGATGCGCAACTTTAGACCGCAGCTGAGAACACTTTGGCGGAAATCTTATCCAAAAGGAACCCCCGTTCCATGGCAAATGAAACAAAAGCACCCCGATTGCATCCACCGCGAGGAGGAACCACCCCCACATTTAAGTATTGTTTTAGAACAATTACAGACATGAAATGTGTTTTTTTAATGCATTGTGTATTTTTAAGCTGCGTCATTTTGAACCGTCTGTGCCATCCTGCTGCTTGAGCCCCTAACAGACCAACACATGCTAATGTGGGTTCCTTAAAAACTATATAAAAATAATATCATATATTACATATTTTCTTATTTATATATTAAATTCAAACCACCGCAGGGCAGCCTGCTGGCAGGATAAGAAGTGCGCTGAAGTTGGAGAGAGATGGACAGATTACAACTCGATAACAACGAGGCGCGGTCGCTCCCGCGCAGCTCGCGTTCCGCCCATGAACGCGCACGCGGGGTCAGAGACAGTCAGACAACCGGAACAGTTGACTTGAAGGCACTGGGGATATATATAGAGAGAGATCCTACACGGTAAGTCCAGCAGTAAGAAACATCTCCTTTGTGGGGTGTCACGTTGGATCAGTGCTTCCGTCGCCTGGATGGTTTTGATGGGATCTCTTTGGCCACGGTTTTTTTGTTTTGTTGTTCAGGGGTCGTTAGTGGTCGCACGTGTAACCATAGATCATTTAACCAATATATTCGACATAATTATAAAATGTGTGACTAGACCCACGACGATATATGTCTTCCAGGCAGTTTGAATGCATTTACCTGCGATGGCCTCCGTTTTGTGATTGTGTGATATTTGTGGATAAGCAACTAGATTCATGAGATGTTTGTATGTAGTTTGTGTTGTCTACATATGTAGCTCCTCTCCAGTAACACTAAGGTAAACAAAGCAAACCTTGTGGTGATATTTGATGTTGTTTTGCATCACTGCCAAGTGTGCAAATAGTTTGTTTGGAATCCAAATTAAAATGCATGCAACATGAGGCCGAGCTCCTAAAGCATGAAAAACACTGCATGCAACACAAAGCAAAAACTTAAGTGATTGCTTTGTGTTGCATTTGTCAAAGTACTGTTATTAAAAGAAGCGTCAACACATCGGCACATCTGTAAGGAAAACTACATAGGGCGGCTGCGGCGGAAGCGTGTTGGACGTCACGGTTATGATACAATGCAGCTCTGGTGACTTCTGCCATTGTTGATGATGCCTCAGGACGCTGTGTGTTGCTCTGTGATGCTGCACGTATATGGGACTGGGAGAACAGGAGCCTTGAAAAACAGTTGTTCCTTCTACAAGATCCGCTGAACACTTCAAATCAGCTTTAAATGATCATTACCATCGAGCCGGCGCACCAGTAGGAGGAAACTGATTTGAGTTTTTCTTCTTTTTTTGATTTTAGTTTCAGCGCTCCAAACAGACCAGAGGTACTGGCCCGTAAACAAAGCTTTAGTTAGTTTCGCTACACAGTGGATAAATGCAGGTGGAAAACAACGATTTCTAACGGACGCAAGCAAGCCCAGTGAGGTTTCAGTGAGTTACTATGTACGGTTTTGTCCACAGCGGCCTTGAGTTTGACACCTTGGACTATAGAGGAACAGATAAAAATGTGGGACTCAGCCGTGTTATAAGAGCGTACGTGATTGCAGAAGTTGAACAGACAAAACAACTAAAATAAAAATGTCATCAGGGCCGAATGGTTTTGACAAAAACAGGAAGATGAAAAAAAGTTGCTCTTTCAACTTGCATGAGAAAAGAGGAAGAATTTTGAATCCCAGTTGCAACATAACTCTGTTTGGTCCTGCCACTCTGTGCCAACGCAAATCCTGTTCCACCTGTCCCATGCGAGCTTGTCACATACTTGTACTTTGCCAAAGCTCACAGATTCATAGTTCATAGGAGTTCTAATTAAAACCCAGTTGAAATAATAAAAACAGTTAGTGAAGTTAATAAAACACACCATGGTTGATAACTACGTACATTTGGAATGAAAACCGTCTGTCTGTGAAAATATGGTAAGAAAACAAAACTTGGGGTCATGCAGATGTGCTCTAGTGCTTCGTCAATCTCGCACATTCTTCCTTTTTCATTCAAATGTGTGGCTTATTTTATTTTAGCATCTTCACTCTGCTTTGAAGGCATTACAGAGCTTCTGCCTGGTCTTCCAGCTAAATGTATTTCAATCTTCAGTCAAAAAAGTGACACTGAATTTGCAATCTCAAAACTATCAGCGGTTCTTCACTGCAAACCACAAAACTGCAGATGCAGCCCCGACATTCTCTGACACACATCCGATTCCTCTATCCTGTGACGTTTGCCTTTCTGATATTTCCTTTCATGTTCATTCTAGATGCGTGCCTCCTACAAGAAGTGCTTCGGACTGCTTTTGATCAGTGGACTCCTGCTATCCCTGTTCTTTGCCTGGAGCCCTGGGACCATTTCACGGGTTGACATACGGCCAAGACTGGGGGGTCAAATACAGAAACTCCTCGAAGAGAGAATAGAAGACGTCATTAGTGGCTATCATGACGTTTCCCATACAAAGGATGATGTGGCACGGTTAGTTATATATACGTCAGCATGTATACATTTAGTTCTGAATTCTCATTATCATTAAATACTCTGTACCATTTTTTTTCTGACAGTCGTTTGCCTCAAAATACATGCATGTGTCTGGCTGATGAGGAGACCTTACGCCTGCCATTCTCCAATCTGCTGTTCCCACGTGTGTGGGCCCACAACATTGGTCTTGACTTCTTAGGGTCCCACCCCGACCCCAGTGGTGTGAAGCGTCACAGAGATCAGGAGTACAACAAATTTCAGATGAGGTAAAGTTCAAATGATTAACCATATAACAGTGAATAAGTAAAATATTACTGTCTCACGCAGAGAATCAGTAAAATATTACTGTCTCACGCAGAGAATCAGTAAAATATTACTGTGTAACGCAGTAAATAAGTAAAATATTACTTTATAACGCAGTGAATAAGTAACATATTACCTCTTATAACGCAGTGAATCAGTAACTCAGTATCCTTCTGTTTTAGAAGCCTGTGCGAGGTGCACAATTAATTGTAATTTAATGACAGGGCTGCGCAGCAACGGAAAGATTGTTGTCCAAAATTGCAACATAAGGAATCAGACACACAAAAGAACAACCACGTGTCGCAATGGAGGGTGGAGCTGCGGTCTCGCAACCTGAGGAAAGAAACTGCTCTGAAGTTTGGTGGCAAAGCAGCTGACACTTCCTTATCTCTTGCGGGATGGGAGCCAGTTGAAAAACTTGTGGGTGGGGTGTGTATTGTCCCTCCATGTCCATTGGGCCCAAAATCGCTGATTGGCTATAGCAGTTGTCTACATACGACGTGAACAGGTTGTGGGCTCAGCACCCAAACCCCGGGGAGTTCCAGGCCGGAGCGGAGGAGGTGTGGCGTTAATTCCAAACTGCCGTGTTGCAACAAGCTAAATTATCTCAGGGGTGACGTGCTTTACATGGGCAGGGTTGTTGGCTTGACTGTTGGCTCGATCATCAGTCTGGCTGTTCGCGCTGGCGCTCTCTCTGGGTTTTAGAGAAACTTCATGTGGCCCGAGGGATCTGCAGGGTTTTATGTAGCATTCACGTGTATTGTAAACAGACTGCATGTCTGTGATGATTTTCTGTATTGGTTGAGTTGATTATTTTTTATTTTGATGTCAATATCAGTGAACACAACCCCAATGTGCCAGAGCCCAAAAAGACTTTGCCCATGGCTCTTTTATCTTCCAACAATCCGGAATGCAAACTTATTCAATATATAATTGTGTGAAGAAAACCTTTCCTCAGATTTACAGGTCATATGAAATCTAATTTAATGGCCATTAAAATTCACAAACTTAACACATGAGTTACCATACAACAAATTTGCAATCTTTCTTCTCAGGTCCTACAGTCCTGCAGATGTGCTTATTGTAGCTGAGGCCAAGAGTCCTCTTCAGTATCCTACGCAGGGCTTGGAGGTGCGACCCCTCAAAACGATCATCATTCCAGGTACCATTGCACTTTGCATTTGTTCAAAGCGTGTTCATTGCATCTACTTTTGGTTTGTTAGTGAGTTTGCTTCACCATATATCACTCCCTGGAAGTTTTCAGTAGTAACTGCTTTATTCTCATAGGTTTGGGTCTTAAAGAAGAAGCAATGTCCATCTACAAGGTAACTTCTTTACTTTGCGGGTTTCATTGGGGTTCTCACTTATTTTTTCTGTCCAAATATTAAGCTCCTTTGCTTATTCTTTTTTACCCAAACCTCTGCATTTGGTGCACAGGTTTATTTGACAGCAACATTGGGGACTTTTGATGTTGCTGCTACGGTGGAAGGGGTCTCTGTTAAAGGAGATGGAGAGAAGCACATGACACTTTCCAGTTCTCTTCTCTCCGCGCTAAACAGACAGCTGAAGTTTGTCACTTATACAAACACTGTTTTTCATCCCAAGACAGCCGATACAGGTAATGGATTGTGTCCTGATATTAAACATAGAATATTATGTTTACCCATCCTAATGGTCTGAAGTAATACTCAACGCTTTTAATCAAGTATTAATCAATCAAAAGAACTCATGGTAAGGAGGTACAGAAGTACTACGTTCTATATTCCAGTGGAATAAGTCAAACGTTTGGACACACCTCCTCATTCAATTGGATGGTCTCTTTATCCCAATTCCTATCTGCAGTTCAGTTTAATACTGATGTTCACCGGTCCTTTTTCACCATTAAAGTTGGACATGGAACGGTACCTAAACTTTACAACTCTGGATATCAAAGAGGTTCGTGAGCAGTAATGTCTTTATCACATTTGTGTTCTTCTTTTCGTCAATTCAAAGTATTAAAATGAGTCATAGTAATGTTTTTATTGTGTCTGTTTTATTGTTTTCCCATTCAGAGTACAATATCAGTGCTCTTGTTACCATCGCCACCAAGACCTTTCTGCGATATGACAAACTCCAAGACCTCATTGACAGCATTCGCCAATATTATCCTACAGTTACCATAGTGATAGCAGATGATAATGAACACCCACAGCCAGTGACTGGCCCTCACATTGACCATTACATCATGCCATTTGGAAAGGTAAAGAAGCTTTACTATGTCTCTACGGAGCGTTTGGGATTGTTGTTCTGTGGTGACCGACCTTCGTCTACTACATACAGGGTTGGTTTGCAGGAAGAAACCTGGCAGTGTCGCAAGTGACAACCAAGTATGTGCTCTGGGTGGATGATGACTTCCTCTTTACTGCAAACACCAAGGTGGAGACCATGGTAGACATCTTAGAAAAGACCACGCTGGATCTGGTGAGCTGCACACTGAGAGACCGGTCAATGTGTCTGGATGTTATCTGATGTTTTTTTTTGATGGGGACTGCATATTACATTATGCATTGATACTAACTTGTTATATCTGGTGAAAATGTCTTTACATAATTAAATTAATTGCTCTTACGAAATCAATTTACTGTGGCTGTCGCAGGACTTTAATGTCAACGATTTACAAAAGTATGTCATTCCACAGGCTACCTATCTGTCTAGTGTTAGAGAAATCATAATAATACGTACAAAAAATCACCATGGACACCAAGATTATTTGCACCCTGAGGCACAAATCCCCTTGACCATCAGAACACAATGTTTGCTTAAACAGAATATCTGTCCTAGTGGACAGCTCCTGGCAACTGCACTCAAGGTCAAGGTAACATCCAACTAGACAAAACATACACAATTTCCCAACAATCCTCTGCTTCATGCACTCGTCCTCTCAGTCGAGACCAGAGGTCTTCAACAGGGCTTTTTTTCCCCCACAAAATTCAATGTCTTCAGAACCAGAATTATATTTATTGTCTTTAAATACATATTAACATGAATCCAACATATTGTATCGAATGGATAAATTGATGGAGAAGCTCCATCACAGCTCCCGGTTGGGTTATTAAGGGCGACTGGGTATGTGGGAGGGTTAGCGGTTCGATCCCAGGCCCGGCTAACCCGCATGTCGATGTGTCAAGACTCTTAATCCAACATTGCTGCAACATCCTGTAGCTGCGATCACAGTGCGTGAATGTTAGTTACTGATGGGAAGGTGGCACTGTGTATGGTAGCTCCTGTCATCAATGTATGAATGGGTGTGAATGGATGAATCATGTCATGTAGTGCTAAAGCGCTGAGTGGTCAGAAGACTAGAAAAGCGCTATACAAGTACCATTCCCATTAGCAAATTATACAAACTTTCAGCTGTTTACAATTAACAAAGTGGACAAGAACATTTGAAATAGTTCAATGAAACTAATATCACCACGGTTTTCATCCAAATCCAAAACAAAATGCTACTTTCAATCACTAGTGCAGTCTCAAAAGGATTCAACCCCTTCATTACAAGCACCTTCAGAACTTAGTAGAACATCCTTTGAAATTATTCAACCCCCTGTCTCATGTGCTAATCAAGCAACTGAACCAAGCAAGGGCTTCATTAGTTCAAGTGTGCTTGAGAAAGGACACACGGATACCTGGACTGGCCAGGGAAAAGTTAAGTGCATAGTAGAAATATGACATATTGACTAAGTCAAAAGAATTGTCTGAAAATATCTGAGATGTTTGCCAGGAAAAGGATACAAAAAGATATCAAGAGCCCGGAATGTACCTAGAGATACAGTTGGAAGCATAGTTTGCAAGTTGAAGGAACAGTGTCCACGCTCCCTGGACGTGGCAGAAAGAGGAAGCTGTCAGATTCCTGAGGAGGGAAGTGGTCCATAACCCTCGAGTGACAAAAACCAAAACCCCCAAAACGCCGTCTGCGTCGTTGGACCTTCCAACAGTCCCGCGCATACCTCAAAGCCGTCGTTTCAGAAGAACGAATGGGAGATTTCAGAGTGGCCTTCACAGTCTCCTCACTTGAAACCCATTAAAAAAAAAATCTCTGGTGGGATTTGAGGAAGGTTGTTGCAAAACGCACACCAAAGAATATTACTGGGCTGGAGGCCATTGACCAAAACCAATGGCTAAAAAGACTTAATATTAGTTTAATTGCACTTCTTAAACAGTTCTTCTCTGAAACTGAATATTTTGCCATTAACCTAATGTGCAATGGGGGTTGAATCATTTTGATTGCAACTGTAGGTGGTCTAGATCCTTAAATCCCTGCACTAATATGAAATCACAGGGAGTACAGTGTGAATCATTTCTACAGCCATGCAGTTGCACAGATCTCAGATGAGGACTTTTGGCTTATTTTGGTGCTTTCCATGACATCAAGTTGTATTAATTCATCCTACCTGCATCTTTCTCCGGATCATCATGTTTTCAACTGGCTTTTACTTTGCTTCATGTTACGTCGCAGGCATTAACTCACGCGTGTGTCTTCAGACATTTCTGTCACGTCTTCACGAATTCTTTTGCTGTCCTGAACAACCTCAGGTTGGTGGCGCAGTGAGAGAGGTGACGGGCTACACTGCAACTTATCGCCACACCATTTCGGTGGAAGACGGGGGAGAGGAGGGCGACTGTTTACACATTAGAGACGGCTACCACCACGTCATCGAGGGATTTCCCAACTGCGTGGTAGCGGACGCCGTCATCAACTTCTTCCTAGGGAGGACGGACAAGGTGCAGCAGGCGGGGTTCAACCCCCGCCTGGCCCGGCACGGTCATCTAGGTGAGTACGTCTGTGACGTCGCCTGTCGAATCTATTGACAGGTTTGCCACAGCTATTTGCTCTGCAGCTGTGATAACGAGGCTGACCGGCTTTGGAAAAAGAAACAAAACCAGGGGAAGTTCAGTGACGGATCAAAACCAAATGTTTTTTTTGTTACTGCAGAGTTTTTCATCGACGCGCTGGGTTCCCTCCACGTTGGCTCCTGTAGTGACGTGGTTGTAGGCCACGCATCAAAGATCATTCTACCCTGGAGCAAAACCGACTACCAAAAGTCGTATGACAAATTCCGCTATTCGTCTTCCCCTGCTGATAATGACGTTCATAAGGAAGACTTCTACTTCAAGAACCGATTCAAGTGCATGACCAGTGATTGAAACTTGTAGCGACATAAATAGTTTTTCAGGTAAAGCGAAGACTTTGTGTGGACTTGCTTTTTTTTTCTATGAACCAATTGGCCGGAGGAGTACCTGCAACCGAATTCCCCTTCACAACATGCACAAGTATCCCACCGTCTGCCTTAAAAACGATGACTGAACCGTCTAACAATCCGGCGTTCTGTACATCATACCACCTGTTAAATAGTTAGTTAGTTAACCTCAGAGACGACAGTGTGAGGAGCGTTCCTGTTCCTGCATGTATGAATGTCTGGGTTGTTGTATTTTTTTATAAATAATGTGAGAAAAGAATGCTGTTGTTGAGCTAACACCATGTGTATAAAGTTAATTGGCAACAGCTCAACACATGTTATGTTACTCAAATACTTATGCTTTTTAATCATATTTATTGTTTACCAATTTAAAAGGTGTTACTTGGGTAATGTATGTTTATAACATGTGGATTTAATGTGAAACTATTTGTGCACTTTGCTCGTTCATTTTTTACACGTATACGGCAATGTCTTGCTGTGCAAGTAAACGGAATATAAACTACACTGTTGAACAATATTTTCTGTTATTTAACGTTGGATATGCTTCATTGTCAAGGGTTACAGTTGCGGCCCTGGTCCGTTGATCTTCATTTTACCTCAAGTTGTTTTATTTGGGCAGATAATCTGGTTGTCCGGCAACATTGTCCGTCAACTTTGGTGTCATGTTCCGCTTTATCTGGGAAGTCAAAATGGAACATGGCGCCTCTAAAGATGAAACATTTTATCCCTTTGCTTGCTTTCCTTTGTAAATTCAATTGTATTCTTCAAAAAATTAAAATTAAAATCCCTTTTGCCCAATACATTAACGTTGCAGAATGTAATGTTAATGCAATATGAAAATAATTTTAGTGTCTGAACCTTACGGTTGCTTAAAATTATAGCACGTGTCATTAATTAATTTGCCAAATTATCCTTCCTGACAAGTTACGTTTACTCATAAAATACATATTTTTCTGTTTAGTTGAAGTACTATTTTCAACGTCCACATATAATTAAGGATTTTTACATTATGGTTTTAGTACTTTTTCTCAAGTAATGAATGAGTTGCGGAGTTGCAGGTAATACAATTTTTATCTGATGGTGAGATGTGCACATGTGTTTGATTCCAATCGGGTTGTACTGTAATAGAAGTTAATAAACTTGTCGTTTAGGGTTTTATTGCTATGGTGACAGCTGTAACTCCCCTGTTTCGCCACAAGATGGAAACAAAAGATCAGATAACGATGCCACAGAAAATGAATGATTTTCTATTTGCTTTCTGAGGACTCCAACGTTATCATTAAATGTAACATATTACTACCTACAGTAGTGCTATCAGAATAAGTACAAGCAGTACTCGCATTTTCATATTAAAACAGACCAGATGGTTGGACCGGACTATGCTTACCAGTACATCTTGCTGTTTTCTGCTGTTTCTGTATTAATTGCATTAATAACACCATAGAAATTGCCTATTTGATCCTTTTATAGATATTATTCTACTATTTTCATTGGTGTATTTGTTAGTTGTTGGTTGGGGGGAACTATGCGTGGGTATTAACAACTGTGAATATGTACATGATACCTGTAAGTAAGTTTTTAATATAGTAAATCAAAGCATTGTCATTCAATCAGTGATCTTCCTGGATGAGTTGGCTAAGATACTTTTGGAATATGTTTGTGTACAGTCAGTAAATCTGCCGGTATAATCTGGTTTAGAAAACATTTGGCCAGAGACTTGTGTACCATGTTTTAATTGAAGTGGACTACTTCCTCCCAATTAGTGAAACACTCCTTGAGCTTTAAAGGGAAAACCCAAAGGGTACAGTGTCTAGAGGCCTCTTTGAAATATGCACTGGAAAAAAATTAATAACTTGGCCATCTAACATCAAGCAAGGAAATAATTATTTTTTTCCTTTCTCATCGTGGTTTTGAACTCAAACTGCATACAGTCTTCTCAGGTCAAAGTAACAGGATTATCACGAATTGCATTGAAGAAAACCTTCAACTGGACAACTTTGTCAAATGCGACTTCAAGTTTAGAGGAAAATGTACACAAACTGACACCAGCGCAGCTTGCGTGATGTGAGGTAAATAAAACCAACATTCTGCACAACGATGAGCTGCGGTGGTAATTCTTCCAGCATGCCGCCCTGGTGAAATTGAAATCCTTTCTCTTTTGAATAATGCATTTTTGTCTCAGTGAGGACACACAGGTCTACTGTACCTCAGCAAACACAAAGACTCCTCTTATTCTCACATCAAAATATAGCAGAGTCACGTGCTTCACATTCCACACTGTGTTTTCCCCTCAAATGTATTCACACACACACCACAGCAACCAAAGTACTGATGCAGGAAACTAACCCAATTTAAAATGTTCCGTTATGAATCACCCAAAAGTCATTTTAGAATATACAGTATATTTATGGTCAAAACAGCCACTGGATGGCACAGTCGCTGAGAAATACAAAAGTAATTTCCTAATACAGATTTTGTGCAGTTTCTGGAGTTTAAAAAGATGACATTTTAAGGCATAGTGAGTTGGAATTCACTTTACATGGTTGCATAGCACATATAAACATATAAACACCTTATTTAGTAGTAGTACTAGTTAGTATTAAAGAAACTATTCAGTGCACTTTATATCGATCGGTTTGGCAACAGCAAACAGAAACTAAATAAATATCACTGTGCTAATGTTTCAGCATATACAACAACAAAAGACAAAAAAAACATCAGTCATATACAGTTTTATAGTCATTAAGACAAAAAAATGATTGTTCTTTCTTTCTTTTTACACTAGATAGGAGAGTGGTTTCTTTCTGCCTGATGTCCCCTTCCCTCTGATTAAAGTGTACCAGAGGAGAGTCTGATACATGTCAGGACAACTGGGGACACTATAATATAACACTTACTGTAATTCATGATGTGCTACAACAAGCTACTGTTTCTTTAAAACACTGGTATATAGTGGAGCGCCGCTATACAGCCGACAGACTCTGTCTCTACTCAAAGTATAACGACCATTTGACCTCTTCCGTCTTCCCAGTCCGAGATGCTTGTTTGATGGGAGCATGACCGGTCGCTGTCCTCCTGGCTCACACCCAGACAGTCGTGGTGTTTTCTGGAGATTTTTCCTACAGACGAAAGAAGTTGCTTTCTCTTAAGACAATCCAAGTAAACGGAGGGTCCTTTGAATGTTGGGTTTTTCAGCTTACCTTCTGTTGTTGAATATACATCACTGCATCATGAACGGTAACGAAAATATGCTGAGGGTTCATGTAGGTCATTAGACCACTTGATGTTAGGATCTTTAAGACACTCTCTGCATAGAAATCATGAATGGAGTCAATTGTGGATCAGTGAATGTAATATAAACATAGAATATCATGAGAAAATAAATCACTAAATCACAAGCCTCACCATTGCAGTTCGCCAAATACACATGAACTCCAACTTTCTGGCACTCAGAACAAATCTGCAAAAAAAGCCAAAAGAAATCACTGTGTTGTCCACACAGAGACATGGAGAGAATCCTCCCGTGAAGTGAAGTTTGAAGCGTGACGCTTTGCTTCGGTAGACTTACCTGTGTGAAGAGTCTCGCTCCAGCAACATCAACAAATGTCACACTGCTGCAATCAATTAGCACGGCCTCCACCTCACTCTTAGATTTCTCTGCAGAACAGAAAAAAGGTGATCAAATGAAAAGCTTAAAAGGATCTGTAGCAAAACATGTAAATAGCTCAATATGAAAAATGCCATTATTAGTAGATAAAGTACTGTTTTAGGTGTTTGTATTCATAATTTGTAGCTTTTAGTTTCGTTTTTGTCTGCTCTTGTTATTTACCAGATTGAAAGAAGTAATTTTCTGAAGAAAACGATGTATTCGCAATTCCTCTTTCCTGAACAACAATGGAGGGAGAAAAACAGATAAGACACTGAAATCCCTTTTTCCGGTGAGAAATTCACATTTTTCATAATGCAGCTGATTGTGAGTGGTTCTAGTAGTCGTACCACAGTGCTGACGGTGGCCTCTCTCTCCCGTTTCTCCAGCGCTTTTCTGGCTTTCTCCCAGCTGCGGATCTTCTCTGGCGTCAGGCCCAGCAGCTGGCTCATCTCCTCCCTGAAGAAGCTACGGTTGCCGTAGTAAATCGGGCCGTTGTAAGTCAGGATCTTCACTCCGGGTATCTCGTAGCACTGAAAGGAACAAACAGGAATCGTCCCAACTTCGTTCGTGGATTGGCTGCATCACCTCTAGTATAACGATCGCAATCATGAGCTATGATTTTATGTATATATAAACCACAAAATGAACATTTAACAGCAAGAGCGTCCTCTCACCTTGTTGTGCTTCTCCACCGGTCTGTAGATCTCCGTATTGCTGGCCCGACCGAGCACTGAACAACCAGCCCTGTTGAACCATCAGTCAGCAGCTTTAGTTGACCACATTATAACGTTCGACATACATAGCTTGACAAGTAAAAAGGATCCTCTGATTATCTGAGATAATTCTGAGTTGTCCTGATCAATTATAATTTGTTTTTTTATTTTATCATTTCTATTAAACATATTTTTACATACATCTTGCTGCAGGTAAGTGGGATCTTTAGTCTATTTCAACATCTCACATATCGGCTGTATTTTGTACAAATGTACCTTTGCGTGCGGCAGATGACGGTCATCATGGAGAATACCACTCCGATAGCCAGGCCAAGGTCGACGTTGAGGACCACTACGGAGAGCCAGGTCACCACCCAAACCATCTACACCAGAATAACGTGTAAGTGAAAATAACATTCCTGCGTGTGCAACCTCTGCTATATAAGCTCATGGTGGAATGGCTTGATGGATAGTTGTTCTCTATTTCCAAATTAAAACCGAAATATGTTTCTGAGGGCACATCATATTTTACTCCAGATGAGGTGAATTAAGGATGTCTTTTAATTGCTTTATGAAAAAAGGCCCACAGCCTGGAAAGATACCAATAAAGCCAATTAGCTTTGCATCACGGGTAAATTGCTGAACTAATGGTAACCATTGGGATCTAATGAATTATCTTCCTTTCAGCCTTTTGTGCTTTATTCTAATGCTTGGAGACGAATTTGTGGAATACTTATACCGTTGTACTTGTCTATTGCCTTACAAAGTCAATCTTGCTGATTCTCCACAGATCCGGTAAGTCCTGAAACTGAAGGAACATCTGCCTGAGGCTGGTGACGTTGATGCATGCCAAGACTGCCTGAGGGGAGCGAGATGAAGAACGAGACGAGTAAACTTTCCTTCTGTTTTCCTCTCATTCTTGTTGCAGACACACACATATTAAACTCACCTTTGGTAGGTAGTAGAACAGCGGCCCAATCAGAAGCAGAACAATCAGAACCACCAGACTTGTGAACAAGCCGGAGAGCTGCAGGAACACACAAACGCACACCTCATTCGTTATTGAAAATCCCAGAAGCGTTGCTTCTTATTCCTGCGTCTCACAATATGGAAGATCAGCATGAAAGAAAATCCCTAAACAATTTACTCTAATTCATTTCATTCATTCATGTTCACTTTACTTGTGATTTTGTATTTATTTGATTCTATTCAATGTTTTGTACCATCTGGACCTCGAGTCTGAAAAGAAAGTTTGATTCATTCATTCATTTCAACTGAATTCAAGTGGATTAATACTTTCAAATACATAAAAGAATAGTTTATAAAATGAGAAGCAGTGTCTGGTATTTTGGTTCTGATTGTGACGACTGCTGTTCTCAAAGCATCAGCAAATCAGTAACTTCAAACTATTTAGGTGTTTTCATTTAGTTTCCTTGGTTTGAACCTTCTGCTGATTTTATTTTACAGATTGCAACTTTATTTTTATAAAGTGGCTCATAAATGTGACGCGCGGAACCCAATGGACATGGCGCACAGTACCTGTGTGTATCCTCCAGCACTCTCAAGTATATTAGTGGTGGCGAGAGTGGCTGAGCTGGGGAAGCACGTGAAAAAAGAGGACACCGTGTTGGAGATGCCGTGAGCCAGGAGCTCCTGAAATAAAGCACAGGTTCCATCAAAAAAGGGTTACAGATATTGGTGGAAATACTTCAACAAAAAGCCGGAAAAATCTGCCGCTCACCTGGTTGGGTTGTATGGAATATCCATGTTTATCGGCATAGATCATTGCCAGAGAGACAGACACGGCGTAACCGACAAACGTTATCGCCACCGTGTCCCCGGCAATGTCGGGGAAAGTGCTCAAGTTGGGCATCCGTGGCCTCGGGAATCTGACCACAGGAGAATAAAATGTCAAAGCACTAAAAGCTACTGAGCTCAACGTTTTGAGGTCGGATTTTTTTGCAAAACAAAAGGTTAAAAAGTTTACCCAGCTGGGATGTGGCCCACTATCTCGATGTTATAGGTGGAGTCCAGCGAGGAGGCGTAGGCCACACAAGTAGCAATAATCACCTGCGGAATGAAGTATAACCCATCACTTATAACCTGTTCATTACATCGTGAATAGCAAATGGACCCTTTGCGTTCACAAGTACAGTTTACCAACCGTGAGGATCTCCACGGGTATTGGTGTACGCAGGTGCTGCTTGTAACGCATGTTGACCTCCTTGACCGGTACGAGAACAGCCAA